TTAATGTATATTGTCATTATATTAAAATTGTGTAATTTGTTATCCATTATAGATTGTAATTCTTTGTTTAGTATTGTATGTATTTTTTTGAAGTGCCCTCTAGTGGTGTCAATTTTATATTGTAATATTTTATATGAGCTATGATTTAGTTCTTTATATAATTATTAGAATTTTGGTTTAATAATTTCACTTTATATTCAGCGCTCCTAGTAGTGTAATGTAGTAACAAATATTTGGTTACTTAGTTGTTACCGCATTTTTAAATTGATAAGAAATTGCTGGCTAGAAATTGCTCACTTCACGCACGTCGCGAATAGTCAATACTGCTTTTGCTCTTATAGTAAGATTAACAATTNAATAGATCACTTAAATAAAAATTGTAGTAATCATTTCTAATTTACTTTTGTTGTTTAAAAAGATTCTACAATTGAAATATTCAAAACTGAATTAATTTTAATGATTTACTTTAACTAAAAAAACCAATAAAGAAAAAATTGTTAAAAAGATCTTATCAATAATTGATAATTCAATTATTGAATGTATTATAAAATTTAATTATAATTGTAAAAACCTGTTGTTAAATTGAGGTGAAACTAAAAATCACTTATTTTAGATTTATGATTTATGTATCAACATGTTACCAAAAAATGCGAAATATTAATTGCCATAGGTGGATTCGAACTTGTACCCTAACCGTAAAAGACACAAGTGAAACCGATTCGGCAACTGTTTTTTACTCTCGGTGGGTGATAAATTTAGCGACTTAAGCTAATTCAAATTTTAAAGTTACTTTTTCAACTTTAAAAAAGCAAAAAAATTTAACTTCTTATGTCTTATCAACTTTATTCTATGGCAATTAAATTATATAATATTCATGAAATTCAGTATATTTCCCTTGTATGATATTTTAAAATAAAACAAAATACAGAATTTTAACACAAAAATAGCATATTTTTGAATACGGTAGCCATTTTAACCAAGAAGAAAATCTATATTTCGAATTTTTTTTTCATAGTAAAGTATAGAATATAAGCTTTAATTTAAGATTTAAAAAAAGTGTCAATATTTCAGGGACATTTTCAAAAATTAAATTGAAAAAGCTTAATTTGTATGCAAAAATTGTTTTTTTGAATCTCTCTGTGGGCAGATTTAGTCTGATTTAAAAAAAAATTTATATCGATTGAAAGAAAAATGACTGGTTTTTTTTATATAAAAAAAATTATTTTAATTTGTTCATTTTTCAAAATTTAGTTTCAATTATTAAAATATTTAATGTTTCGTAGTGATTTCTACATAAAAATTACATTTGTCATTAAATTCGACGGGTATTTTCCATTGAAAAAAGGTGTCGGGACATTTTTTTTTGAACTCATAGTACTTATTGTAAGCTTTAATTTGACATATATTTAAATCTCGGAGTATTTCCGGAACATTTTTAATAATTAAGTTGAAAAAGTTAGTTTTTGTAAAAAATTTGATATTTTAAATCCACCCCTGTGAGCAGGTTAAGTGTTAGATTTTCAAAAAAATGATATCAAATAAAAGGAAAATATCTAAGGTTTCAATATAAAAAAAAATTATTTGATTTGTTCCTTTTTAAAAAAGTTATGGTAGTTTTAAGAAAAAATATCAAAAATTACTGATTTTTAAAATTGTAATTTTTTTGGAAATTTCACCCATTTACGGGGAACGAGTGAAATTTTTTCAACTTTTAAGAGTAATGTCTTCAACTAGATACGATTTGTGATCATTTGATGTATCATTGAAAGAAATCGGTTCTGATTAGAGCCAAGAAAAAGTGGCAACAGACACAAAAAAAGAAAAAAAAATACATCATGGTAAATTAATACATTCTCAGCTTCGCATTAAAGCTAAAATGTATAAGTATATAATTTTTATGTTAAACAATTATATAAATTAAAAAATATATAAATAATTTTAAAACTTTATTCAGTACACCATAATAAAAAATAAGTAATAACAATGATTGTTTTTAAGCCTAAATTTCTACATTATCTATACTAATATAAAATAACCCTGTTTAAATTTAAGTAATAAATAAAAATACTAAAAGTAGTATAAATATTTGATTATAATTAAACATTTGAGTTGACTCAAAGTAAAATTCATAACAAATATGTATAAACATAATTCTACAAATAAGTAGCAACACCTCATATTATTTTTAATAAATAAATTATCATTTAAACTACAAGTTAAAAATAAATATTGGAGAAAATAACTCATAAAAAATATTAAATATATCCATTTTCTATGTCACAGTCACAAAATTTGATTTAACAAGTTAATAATATTGTAATGATATAAATTTTACGAACATTTATTTGGTAATACATATTTCAATAATAGATTATTTATTTAAAATACACTTGAATACAAGTTAATTTTTTTTTTAAACAAAATTTACATTAAATGTCAAATATCATGTATTGAGTTTAAATTTTTAACAAAAATATAACATAATTAAAAAAAAATATATCAATAATTTTATAATTATTATTTAAATAAAAACTTCTATAACTTAAAAAAAGAAACTCAGTCTTAATTTATTTAACTGAAAACAAATTAGATTTAATAATTATAACTACATTATTCTACATTGAGCCATACTATCAGGCATAATGGGTCCGCCAGCATCTCCAAGTAGTTCTTGAGGTGGCTGACCACATTCTTGCATATTTTTGAGCATTTCCATTAATTCTTTAAACTTTCTTAGTTTTGTGACTTCATCATCATTTTCACCTTGGGTTTCTAAATGATCCCTAACTTCTTTCATAAGTTCAAACATTTTTGAGTATCTAAAATAGATAATATAACATATTAAAAACAAACATTTTTTGTTTAAATAATAAGTTCACCTATCAATATCTTCTTTTGCTTGAATAGATTTATTATCTTCTAACCACTGAGGAAATTTATCACATAAATCTTTTATAGAAGGATATAAAACATCTTTACTAAATAATGGTTGCAAAAGTTGCATCATCATTGGTAACATGTCTTCATCTAAATTAATATCATCGCCTAATCCCATATTTGCAAACATAGAACTCATATCACTTCCTTCAGGCAAATTTTCTTTAGCTTCAGAAAGACTCTTAAGTGAATCTTGAATAACTGATTGGAAATCAAAATCAGCATCGCCCATCATAAATTCTTGTAGACCAGCTGCTAATTCTGCTTGATCTCCATCCATGAATTTTTTCATAGTTTCTTCAAGACTTTCTTTCAAAAAAATATCGGGATTTTGTTGAGTTGGTACTTCTGTATCTGTTACTGGTGTTGGCTGAGATGGTTCTTCAAAGTCTTTTAGGGCATCATCTAACAGTTCAGACAAAGAACTTTGCGGATTATTTCCATTGGTTGGGTTTTCCGACATATTCTAAAGCTTCAAGTTAAAATATTAATTGTAAAACTTTTAAAACCATAATAATTACTTACCTGCTAAGAAATTTCACTTTTGATTAATGATTATCACCTTTAATCTAGAGTGTTTGAACAAGAACCCCTTTTTGTTTTCTTTAACGAAAACTTTTTTTAGAACTCTAAAATAAATAAATTAATTAACACATTCTAAGTGAAACGTGTGCGCTTACTTAACTATAGCTTTATTACTTAGATAATGTAGCCTTTGAGTGAAACCGCACTTAGGTAATGATAATATAAACGTATACTCGTATATAATAATATTGATATGATTGTATCAAAATTAGTGATATATCAGCTGTTAAATTTATTAATATCTCCATTGTGATAAGAATTAACGTAGGTCCATTTTATCCTGCTATCTACTAAAATTACAATTTACATAAAGTAATAATAATGCATCATATACAAACTATTCAATTTTTTTATTAAGTGATATAATTTTGCCTAGTCACTACGTGTATAATTAATATTTTTGTTGTTGATCATTTTAGATATTTTTAATTAAAACTACAATTATATTGTCATAAGTTTAAATATAAACTTTTTTTAATAAGTTGTGCTTAATTAAGTATTAAGTTGAATATGGCCAGTTATTTTGATGAATTAAATGTTGAAGAGGATGAATTGCCTGCTTCCCGTATCGATCGTTTAACTCGTGAAACATATCAGATGCTTATTGACTATGATCCATCACGTTATGGTGATATTGTCAATTCACAAAGCACACCTCCTGCTTCTCAATCAGAAATTGAAAAACTTAGAGCTCCATCAAATGATGAAATTCTTAGTATAAATTAATATTCCCATATTTCAAAATAAATTATTTTATTTAACAGTTTAAATAATTTAATTATAGAAGAACAATGTAGAATATGTTTATGCCAATATGAAACTTTCCATAAAGCTCTTGTTATGCCTTGTGATCACATATTTCATGAAACTTGTTTGAAAAAATGGCTTGAAAAAGTATGAATTTTTACCTATTGTTATAATTAATAATTTTTATCAACTATAAATATTAAGCATATATAATCAAAAATGAAAATACTTTTCAACAAATTCTCAACATTTTTAATAACTTCTATATTTTAATTTTAAAGTAAAATATTAAATGTTAGCTTCAAGTCCATTATTTTAATTATATTTTCTTTGCTCTTTATCATAAGTTTTAAAAAACCTTATTTTTTAATTGTCAAGTAATTACTAACTGCATTTAATTTCAGAGCAACTTTTGTCCTTTATGTAAATTAGAATTAAAAACTGATGATGAAATGTATGAAAAGTATAAAGAAGAAATGAAGAAGCAAAGAGAAAGAGAAAATAATATTGCACAGCTTCATGACTCTATGTTTGGATGAAGATATTTTTAGATTTTAATTCTTCATTCAGTCAATTGCTCTCCAAATGTTCTATTACAATAGTTTTAATAATTAATTGGTATTTCTTAATTCATTACATAAAATTAAATGATCATAACTTATATAATATGTTAATAATTTGTGAATCTTAATATTTTTTAAATATTGTTACCTGTAATTTTTTTGGTGTGATTTTATTAGAGACTATTATATATATATATATATATATATAAATATATATTTATTTATTTATATTTAAATTTTATATAATTATATTGAGTTTATAATTTCCATTTACAACTAAGTATATTTAAATTTTTATTTAACCTAAATCTTCTAATAATTAAAAATATGAATTGGAAAGCTTTTGTTATCTATCAAGAGGTATGTTAAAATTATCTTGAATAATAATACATATAAAAAAGAATTTAAAAAGATTTATTAAAAAAAAATGGTTGCACAGTGGGGTCGTGGCATAGTTGGGACTCCCAATTATGCCATGACCAACTTTTGTCCCAACTTGGGACAAGTATAATTGATATCTGACACTGATTAAAATCTTTATCATAAGAAACGCTTCAATGAAAATCTGTAGGTATTGTTTAATTCTAAGAAATTGGTGGATTATTCCAAAAGTAAAATAAACTCCTATTCTTATATATATCCTGATTACAAGTTTTATGATATATAAGTGTATTGTATGAATAAATATTTAATAAATTTAAATTTATTTATTATTAAATATTTTTTGTTATTAATTATATTTTTATTTTTTTACTTATTACTATGTCAAACTCTTATTTGGTATTTTAAAATAAACAAACAAAAATAAAATTTGAACACAAAAATAGCTTGTTTTTTTAACTACGGTTTGCACGTAGAAGATAAGTCGTCGGCACAAATTTTTTTTTTAATTTATAGTATGTAACATAGGCTTTAATTTGACATTTGTTTAAGGACGTAATACTTATGGTACATTTTCAAAAGTTGAGTTTTGTAAAAAAGTTGCAGTTTTGAATCCCCCTATGTTGGTAGGTAAAAGTTCAGATTATCATAAAATTTATATCAAATAAAAAGGAAATACGTAAGGTGTTTATATAAAAAAAATTATTTTGGTTCGTTCATTTTTCAAAAAGTTATGGCAGTTTTAAGTACCAAAACAATATTGATTTTTTAATCGAAAATTACATTTTTTGTTAAATTTTGACGGCCATTAAAAATAGTAAGATAGGTCGCCGGGAAATATTTTTTTTTATTTTAATAGTATTTCAATTTCAAAAGTTGAGTTTTGTAAAATTAAATGCTATTTTGAATCCCCCCCTGTAGGCAGGTACAATTTAAACTAAAAAATTTCTGTAATTGTTAGCTTTTTATTTAAGCTTGACAAATTGTTCGTGAAAAATTTAAATATTAATATATTCGCGTTTTTTGATTTAGAGATAGAAAAATTTGCATTGAACACATTTTTATTTTATTTTTAATTTAATTAACAATTTTATTAAATATATTTTTTTTGTACTACTCAAAAAATAATTATGCTATGTAAAATCTAACTAGGAAGTAGTACCATTAGTAGTAGACCTTACAAATAATATACCTTTTTGGAAAGTCTGATCATTATATTAATTATTGGGGAGAATTTAAAATTATATTAAAATTTATTTCTATTTAATGTGACATAATATTCTAAAACGCCCTTACACTACATAAAATTAAAACTATAATACTGTACTTAAGACAACAAAAGAAAAATGATCCGAAAACTTTAAAAAATTTCCAGGTTTTACTGGTCTTTAAGACAAAAATGATACAATTTTTTGGTAATGCATAGTGCTATTGTTCTATTGCTCAATAGAACAATCATATCATTCAAAATTAAATCATATTTAAACTTATTTAACGTACTATACGATAAAAAAATGAAAGACGTTCCAATGAATTGTCTTTTATGAATCGACCTCTAAAATAGAACACTAATTTTCGGTGGATATGTTTTATTTAAATTATGAATCAAAGCAATTTATGAAGATGTTTTAATCACTGTCAGATTTCAATCAACACTAATCTTAAAATATGCTTCGCCCATACTTCGTTAAATTCCGACTTTATTTAATTTTGTATATCTTGTTCTTAATTGTTCTAATGATTCACAATTATATTCTTATTACTACAAAATTTAGCTATCCTTTTCTTTTTAATCAAAGTGACAGGTATTGCTAGTACACTAAATAAGTATTTTAATTGTACTGTGGTTTTAAACTTAAACAGTGTATAGAATGGATAACGTGTATCAAATCATATGGTTCTTATCATTTGAACTTGATTTGTTTTTTATATTTTTCAATAAATGATTTATCGTTTCATTGCGGGTATGTTACAGTTATAGTATTCAATTTTCGGAAATTTGTTTAACACTGTTACATTTAAAGTAGATATGTTTCGTACAACATTAATAAAAAGTGCACCGTGTGCTCGTTTTATAACGACAACTCAATGTCGTCAATATTCTAATGCGCCGCCATCTAAACTTGAGGTGTATATTGATGACAAAAAAGTTCAAGTTGATCCCGGTACAACAGTTTTACAAGTATATATTATTTTTTCAAATATTTTCAACTCTTCTATTATTGAATTACTTAAACTTTAGGCTGCTGCACTTGCTGGTGTAGAAATACCTCGATTTTGTTATCATGAACGTTTAGCAGTTGCAGGAAATTGTAGAATGTGTTTAGTTGAAGTTGAAAGATCGGCAAAAGTAAGATCTTTAATTAGTTTACATTTTGCTAATTTTTAAATAATAACTATTAATTTTTATTTAATTACTTAGCCTGTAGCAGCTTGTGCCATGCCCGTGATGAATGGTTGGAAAATTAAAACTAACTCAGAATTAACACGTAAAGCTCGAGAAGGAGTAATGGAATTTCTCTTGATGAATCATCCATTAGATTGTCCTATTTGTGACCAAGGAGGTGAATGTGATTTACAAGATCAAAGTATGGCATTTGGTAGTGATCGATCACGTTTTGTTGATATTGACTATAGCGGAAAAAGGTAATATTTTAATATTGCATAATTATATTTCTCACACATGTTTCCATTTGTTATATTTTTGTAATCGAATTTTAGAGCGGTTGAAGACAAAAATATTGGACCTCTTGTCAAAACTATAATGACCCGTTGTATACATTGTACTAGATGTATACGTTTTGCTTCTGAAGTAGCTGGTGTTGATGACTTGGGAACTACAGGCCGAGGCTCAGATATGCAAGTATGTGAATTTAATTATTATTTATCATCATTGTATAATATAATTTTTTCTTCAAGGTTGGAACTTATATAGAAAAAATGTTTTTATCTGAATTAAGTGGTAATGTGATTGATTTATGCCCAGTTGGTGCCTTAACTAGTAAACCGTACTCTTTTACTGCACGCCCCTGGGAAACTCGGAAAACTGATAGTGTTGATGTTCTTGATGCACTTGGAAGTAATATTGTTGTATCTACTCGTGCAGGAGATGTAATGAGGATTTTACCAAGGCTTAATGAGGTAAATATATCATGCAAAATTATACTTTTTCTAATTAAGTGTCAAAGCTTAAAAACAAAGATTATGTAAAATATTTTTATTGAAATTTTTTATTTTTTCAGGACATTAACGAAGAGTGGTTATCAGATAAATCACGTTTCTCGTATGATGGTCTTAAACGCCAAAGACTTGTAACCCCTATGGTAAAGAACAATGAAGGTAATTTAGTATCCGTTGAATGGGAAGATGCTTTAGTTGCTGCTTCGAAAGTTTTAATGAAAGCTAATGGAAATGTAAAAATTTAATATAATGGTGTTTTTACTGAATATATACTATTGTTATTATTATTATTATCATTTATAGATTGTGGGTGTAGCTGGAAGCTTATCTGATGCTGAATCAATGGTGTCATTGAAAGATTTACTTAATAGGTTAGGTAGTGAAGAATTGTATACTGAAAAACCTTTCCCTATTAGTGGTTCTAGTACAGATTTAAGATCATCATATCTTTTCAATACAAGTATTTCTGGTAAGTATATAATTGAAATTTTATTTAGCATATTTTTAATATAAATTATCTTATTAAATGAATTAAAAAAAACATTTATGATATTCTTGAAATTTAAGGGAAATAACTAAAAAAATACTGATAATATCTTGAACTTTTCAATTCAAATGAAATATTTTTTAATATTCAAATGAAATGAAAATATTACCTTTACAAAAGTATTAACATGATTTTTAGCTTCGATGCGAAGCTGAGAAGGTATTGGTTTTACTATGATGTGTTTTTTTTGTGTCTGTTAGCATTTTTTCTCAGCTTTCACCGAATTGATTTCTTTCAACGATACGTCAAAATATCACAAATCGTATCTAGTCTAAGACATTACCGTCAAAAATTGAAAACATTTTTTTTACTTAAAACTGCTATAACTTTTTCAAAAATGAACAAATCAATATAATTGTTTTTATAGATGCATCATGTCTATACCTTTCATTTGGTATACTTTTTTTTACAAATTTGACCATTTATCTGCCCACGGGGAGAAATTCAAAATGACAACTTTTTCACAAAAAATTAATTTTTTCAACTTAACTTTTGAAAGTGTTCCGTAAAGTCTGACACTTTTATATATATCTTAAATTAAAGCTAATGTAATATACTTTATCATTAAAAAAAAAATTTCGGACTTCATTTTGTCTTTACGGTGAAAATAGTTACCAAATGCTATTTTTGTATGAAAATTCTCGATTTTATATTTTACATTTTTAACTTTATAATGCTATAACTTATTGAAAAATGTATGGATCAATACAATTTTTTCATGAGAAGTAGTATTTATATACATCTTTCATTTGAAATACTTCATCTTAATCAGGATATAAATAAGGAAATAGGTGATCATGTAGCTTTTGGAATAGTCCACCAATTTTTGAAAATTAAACACTATCTAAAGATTTGTATCAAAGTGTTTTTTATGATAGTGATTTTAATCACTGACAGATATCATTATACTTGACCCAATTATGCCACGTCACCACTGTGCTGGGTTTTTTCTAATACTAAAGGTGTTAAAATATGATATTTTGAAATTCTTCAAAATTCAAAATATAAAAAATTATATTAATGCATATTCTTACTAAACAATTATAAAAAGGGGAATTTTTGTCTTCCAAAAAACAGACTTATGTTATAAATATTAATAATTTTTTTGTTTTCTAAAATATTTTAATGAATTCAGAAATTTAGCACATCTATATGTTTAATTAAGTTGATTAAAATATGTTGATGTCTATATTCTTAAAAATTTTGAAATTTAGCTCTCATATAGTAATGGTGTCATTTTTTAGATTTTTTAAAAACTTAGTGAGTTTTAATAGTATAAAATCCTGTTTTATTAGTATTGAAATATCAAAGATAATATAAGCTATTGTAACATTTTAGATTAAAAAAAAATAAACCAAAATTATATTGCAAACTAAATAAACATGATTTTTAAGATCTGAAAAAAAAAATTATGTATTTAGTGTGATTGTGTATAAGGTTTAAAATAAATATTATTTATTTTATTTAGGATTGGAACAAGCTGATCTAGTACTTTTAGTTGGTACAAATCCACGTTATGAAGCACCTTTAATTAACACACGTATCCGTAAAGGATATGTTCACAATGAATTAGATGTTGCCTTACTAGGCCCTAAAGTAGATTTGTCTTATGATTATGAGGTAATTTTTAATAAAGGTATTTTAATATCAGCTCTTAAAGAATACTTTTCACTAATTTATCATTTTTTAGCATTTAGGAGAATCATCTTCTACTCTCAAAGAATTGGTAGATAAGAAACATGCATTCTTCACAAGATTAACCAAAGCAAAACGTCCAGTAATTATTTTAGGAGCACAGCAGTTTGAAGGGGAACAAGGCAGTGTTCTTTTAGCTCAAGCTCAAAAACTGGCTAAAGAATTAGAAAAAAGTGTAAGATTATGCATAAGTATAAAAAAAAAAATTAAATTTAATTAAAATATTTTTATTTTATATTTAGGCTGAAAAAGGATGGCGAATTTTAAATGTATTACAACAAGTGGCAGGACAAATAGCAGCATTGGATCTAGGCTATAAATCTAACCTTAATGTAGGTACTCCTAAAGTTTTATATCTTTTAGGTGCTGATAGTGAGGCTGTAATAAAAAGTAAATCTTCTGGAACAACTATTATTTATCAAGGTTATTATTAACAAACATTTAAAATTTTTTTAGTAATGTTTTAATAAATGTTTACTTTGATTAGGTCATCATGGTGATGCTGGTGCAGCAATTGCTGATATAGTTTTACCAGGAGCTGCTTACACTGAAAAACAGGCAACTTATGTTAATACTGAAGGTCGTGCACAACAAACATTAATGGCAGTACAACCACCAGGAATGGCACGTTCTGATTGGAAAATTATTAGAGCGATATCTGAGGTTTTTATTGTTACAGAAATAACTCAATAAATTTTTAATATAAAATAATATTTTTAGATTGTCGGTACAAAGTTACCTTATGATACTTTAAATGAAGTACGAGACCGTTTAACTGATGTCAGTCCTAATTTGACAAGATACAATGACTTAGAACAAGCTAATTTCTTAGCACAATCATGTGATCTATCTAAAGTAACAATTTTATTTTTCTTTAATTTCTTAAAATGTAGAATTAATTTTCATGTTTTTTTTTCAGGATTTAGCATCAAAATGTATTAATTCACCTTTAAAACTAAAACAAATAGAACTAGAAGATTTTTATATGACTGATTCTATTAGTCGAGCTTCACCAACCATGGCTAAATGTGTACAAGCGGTTAAAAAACAAAAAGAATCTAAATACTATGAAAATCGTATTAGCAATTAATTAATTTTATAATTTAATGTACAAAGAATTGCTGAAGACACTACATGTTACAACTTTTGATTATAGAAACAAAATTTAAATTTGAATTTTAAACAAGATAAGTATATTAATATTTGAATTCTGTAAAAGTTCTTAGTAGAGTTACAGCATATTTGTTAATTATTTTTATTTAATATTTTATTGTGAAACAAGTGCAAACACAAAAAAAAATGTTTCTAATAAACTTATTTAGAGAAATTTATGGATAGTTTTTTAAAATTTGTATTATTGATCATATAAAATAATATTCAAACTTTATTTAATATTTATTTTATTTTAGGGAAAAATATTAAAAATCCATTAATATCCATTATTTATTATTTAAAGGTGTTTTTTTTTAAATTTTGATTATTATGTGAAATTGAAAAAAATTTTAGATCGACTATTTCTCTAATTCAAACTTTTAAAATATTCTTAGTTCCTCAATTATAAGTAATTATATTATAAATATGAATTTAAGCTTAGTGCAACTTTAAACACAAATAATATAAACAGTATAAGATTATATAATATTAATATAATGTTATATGTATTATTATATTATTATATTAACTATTATAATCTTGTTAAGTTATCAAATAATACATTTTTTTGTAATGTTTGTTTTGATTTAAAATAAGTAGAAATTATTTATGAAAATTAAATTTCTTCATAGTTATAAACATTATAAATTAGGAAAGCAGCAAAATGTTTTTACTAATATAAGCAATTAATTAAATTTTATGAAGAATCCTCTTAATTTCCTGAATAATAATAAAGATAATAAAAATTGATCATTGTGGTTAATTAATTATTAAAATTAAAACTATATTAAAAATATTATTAATTTAAAAACTAAAAAATGTTAAACTCAAAAAGTCACAAAAAATTACTGGAAAACCGTGGATATGTATTTGAAAATAATGTTACTATTTCAACGCTAAACACATACTGATACCCCGACTAGAAAAAACTCTTTTATATACCGCTAGTGATGTCATCACTAAGTAATATTATCACATTTTGCCAGTTTACACAAGTTTAATAATGCATTTTTCAGTGGGCCAAGATCTCAATTAATTAAATTGTTGTTATTTTTAAACATTTCTATTGCCTTCCTTATATTAAGTTCTTTGTAAGTATTTACGTTTTTAATTAGTTTTTTGGTTTTAATGGAGTGATTATGTGTCAATAAATGTTCAGTTACTGGAGATTTCTCAATTTCTTGATTTTTAATGTTTCCTAAGTGCTTTTTAAACCTGACCCCTATATTTCTTTTTGTTTGTCCTACGTTACATTTATTACAAATTTCACATTATATTTTATAAATGCCTGATTTCCCCCCTTTTTCTACCTTATCTTTAGGGTTACCCAACAAATCTCTTAAATTATTACACTTAGATGTATATTACTAAAGTAAAACCAAAATTCTTAAAAATTCTATTTAGTCTATTTGAGATGCCCAGATAATATAAAATGGGTGATCTAATTAAATTAATAAATTAATTAATTTATGTTCCCCCATGCTAGTAAATGCCCTCCTTTCTTTATTCCACTTTTGTGTTTGGACTAATTTTGAAATGTTTTCGTTATACCTTTTAAATCTAGCTATTTCTCTTATAACCCCTAGTTATTTATCAACATCTATTTTATTCATCGAAATTAATCTGTAAACCATACTATCAAAAGCTGCCAATTTGTGTTACCAGCTGTGATTCGATTTGTTCGGAATGTGCCTGAACGTGTGCATGTTTTTTCGATAAATTTCAAAATTTGGTTCTCCCTCTGCTCTTTTAACTAATAAATCCAAAAAAGACAATTTTCCATCTACTTCCTGTTCATATATGAATTTAACCGAAGGGAAAAAGAATTTAAATGTTGTATATCCTTCATATTAAAATGTTTATTTATTACTGCAAAAATATCATCTATATACCTAACCCAAATTTTTGAAAAATCACCATAAGTGTATTTTAAATTTGTTTCGAACCTACTCATGAAGTTCTACTAAAAATGGTGATAATGGATTTTCCATTGCTGTGCTCTCAGTTTGCTCATAAAATTTATTTTGACACTGAAAAACATTTTGACCCATACATGACTTTGTTAAATTAATAAGCTCATTAATTTTATCCTGTCCATTATATTATTATAATATTTATCAAAATACTAGGAAATAAGGCTACTATGTCAAAAGAAATTAATCTGTCATTATTTTGAATTGTAAAACCAGATAATTTTTGAACTAAGTCAATATTATTTTTAACTGAAAAGCTATCTAAATTTTGAATAAATATAAATACCCTTACTAAGTGATTAGCCTGTGTTAAGTACTAACCCTAAGTACTAAGGGTAAGTTCATTAAAAATGTTATGTTTTAATAAATATTAAATTAATACTTCAACCTAAGTTTTTCTATGTTAAAAAGAAAATTACTATATCAATCACACCGTGTATATATTTTATTTTGATTATAGTTTACAACAAAACCCAAGTACAATTTGATTAATAATAAAATTTGTCTAATAATTATAATTGTATTACAAATATTTCATTTACATATCTCTCCATGCTAAAACAATTTTTTGAAATGGTATAAACTGTCCATTATTTATTCCACTGGAAAATAAAATTCAAGTTAAATTTTTTTAAACATATAAATATTTCATTACACTTGCCATTCAAAATATTTTATTCCATTATACATTCCATCTGAATCTCCAATTTTTCTATCAAATTGTACACCAATATAAGGTTCTGTCATTGCAGCAATACAACCTATGTAACGAACTCTTGCACCAACAACCCTACCGAAACTAGTAATTACTTTGACATATGCATTTGGTTGGATATCATATATGGACTTTGGCAAGTAAGGCTTTCCAGTTATGGGTATAGAGCAGCATTCTATACAATTATACAATATAAACAAAATAGTATGACATTAAGCAAAATTTAAAAAATGAGAAAGTTAGATAATACGCATAAACTATCTAATAATACCTTCATTCATATGTTTGAAAGTATTATGAAGCTTGAACTATATATTATATAGTTTAAGCTTAAAAAAAAATATTGAAAAACTATTCAACTTATGATTTAACATTTTATAGTTAAATGACTAGTTTATGATTAAATAACTAATCGTTCTTTTTAATATGTATTTCTTTTCAAAATTTTAAAGTGCTCTTCTAAAAAATTAATTGAATTGACTTGAGGTTTTTTTCTTTAAACTAATGATATTTACTAAGACAATTGAAATTACAATTTCCCAAAAATATTTTAAACTAATTGAAAAGTACATAGTAAACGCTAACCTAATGGTAGAAAAAAATTATCTAATATATCATTACATTAAATTACCTAAATATATGTATTTAGGTAATTTAAAAAGATTTCCTATTTATAGATGATAATTTTACACTATGTACCTTTGGCAAATCAATGTGGGAAATAATTGTATTGTTTTAGTAATTGTAATTTATTTTTAATAGTAAGAAATAAGAAAAAAATTTCTTTTTTTTCATCAACTTCATAAACTCTTACCTATATTACTGTGATATGGCTCAGAATACCTCCTATGTTTTTTGCTTCCTTTCTTGTCTACATGATATCCAGAAATTAGACTATCAATAGCATTACGCACAACACATTCAGATTCTTCAATTAGTGAATCAGTCGAATCTTCTTCTACTTTTCTTAAATCTGGCATTGACATTCGCACTTTTCTTGATTCTAAGCAATTATTAACTTTTTAAATTCAATACTATAATAGAGCCATTAAGAGCATTTTACCTCTAAATGATACTTTATTTTTAATTTTTCTTGGAACTTCATCTTCTGCTTTTAATGTTGCTGAAGATGAATATTTTACATCTTGTAATGAATTACTTGGTTCACATGGAACACTAGCAGACCTTCTATATTTTGTAGGGGAAGATGGTACAGAAGACCACGGCCCATAATTATGCCGGGCTTCAAGAGACATAACAGATGGCCTTACCTGACATCGATAGCACGAAGAATGCACTGAAAATACAGATCCAAAATCATATTTTGAAGATGATGAACCTATTGAAAAGTATCCAGGACTTTTAAGAAATCTGAAAAAAAAAAAAATGAAATATTAACAAATAAATGTAATTAAAAAGCAACTTTGAGTTTATTCTACAAAAAATTTTTTTTTTAAGTTTTCATACAAATTTAAAAAAGTAATATAATACTTACTTTGACCTAGAAGGTTCTCGGCTTAATTGTCCCGATTGTTTACATAAATGATCTACACTTCTTGAAAGCTCTGGTACCATACTAGTAAAGTTGATATCAGATAACATCACCCTTCTTGATTCTGTAGTTTTTTTTGAAACTCGAAGACATTGTTTACGTGTATTTTTATCAACTGGTGCTATAAATTTTGATGGTAAAGTTGTATTAGGAGAGACATTTTTTTGATTGATTAAAAAACCTTCGGAACGCCATTGTAATGGTAGAGCTGTAATATCTGTTTGAGCTTCAACCTCTTGTGTTTTGAGAGTAATGTCTTTTAAAATGGGTCTTAGAGGACTGAGAAATTTTGAGTTTTTGAATTCTTTAGAGTTAGCTCCACATTTTGATATGTCAGTTTCAATTACATTATCAATAGAAACAAGATCTTCATGAAGAGATACATTTGTAGCATCATCTGTTGTGAATATTAATTCAATTTCATCAGTTTCTTCAGATGTTTGGTTAGTGACCTAAATTTTTAATACATTTATTGAAAATTAATAAAATTTGTTATTAATGCAGAGAAATAAGCAAGTATTTGAATTTTCTAGGTATTCCTCCTTCAAAATGTATAGCAAGCATACAAATGATATTAAAATAATAAATTTTTTTTTATTAAAAAAAAAAAAAAAAATATTTATAAGTTACAATTATATAACATGAAGATAATTTATAATTACATTTATAATAAAGGTTGAATACATTCTTACTTTATTTTGACTGGATTAGGTCTACATAGAAACAAAAATAATCAATATGAATAGAACAAAAAAAAACTGGATGATGGATTCAGTCTTGATAAATGGTATACCACTAAAACTACACCCTTTTCAAAATTAAATTCATAACTATTTAAATTATTATAATATAGTAGGAAGAATACATTTTTTTATAGTTTTGGTCCAAGGTTAGTTAACACCAACATTACACTGATGAATTTTTAGTTAAATATTTTATACAATGGTTTCCTTTTGTAATAATTATATATATACTACTAAATTAATAAACATAAATATATGAATTATACATTTATCAAATAAAAGTTATAAAAATGTATAATTACAATTTTAATATGTAATACTAAAAATAACTTAAAAATATTGACTTATAAATATAAAAAGAAAAGAAATTTTTATACCTTTTTATCGCTCATTGTGAGACACGATTTCTTAACTAATTCAAGTTCTGCCTTAGAATGTGCAAGAGCTGTTCTTAAAGCTATTACTGTTTTGTGTAATGATCGAACCATGTCCAAGTCAAAAAGACCACCATCGTTATTTTCCGATTCCATTTATACACATAAATCATTATTAATGTCGGGACATAATAATTAATATTCTAAAATAAACAACTGTCAGGTGTAAATACCAACATACAGGTCGTAAAACATTTGTTATGAAAATTGAAGACTGCGGAGTAGCCGTAGGTTAAAGTATTGATTTAATTTTAGCGCTGCTCAACGTCATAGAACTACATTTTTTCTTCCATGGAAAATTGTAGATATTTTATTCTTCAGTTTTATTTTGTAATAATTTAGAAAACACAATTAGAATGTTTAAATATTCTTTTGCACGAATATTTAATATAAATTTATTAAACAGAGATGTAATTCATTGTCGTGAATTTATACAGGACATCCAGTGGGTAGACCCAGGCTTACTCTGTTTTCAGAGCTAACTAGCAAGTTTTAGGCAAAGGACCCAGAAAATGTTTTATTTTCAAATACCGACAAAAAAAAACGCCTAAAGAGGCTGAGCTCCGGTACTAAATGTTCAAATTATAATTATCATAACCGATCTGTCCTAAGTTTTAATCCTAGTCATACTTCTGAGGGGGTCATTTCAATTTTTTTTAAACTTTTGGACGATTTCATATTTGAAATTATTCATTAGTGGTTGTTTTTAATTTTTAAATAATTAACACATTTGGAAGAAAATACATTATCATGGGTAATAAAAACCAAGAAATGCAATTGCTTGCCCAACTCTCCTGAATCTATGACCAACTGTTGCATTATATATTCATACAATAATAGTGATTAGGTTAATCACTTTAACATTGATTTAAATATTTAAATTTAAAAATTTATATTAACATATTTTCTATCTAAGAAATATCAATTAAATATATTTTTTTTAAGGGTCCGTATTTAATATAATACATGGTCCCTAAAATTAAAGTTATGGAAGGGCATAAATTAACGGCATATTTCATATTTTTTGTTTAAATTATAATATAAGATCTAAATCAGAGGTGATAATTGAATTTTGGAGCCTCACAATTAGAGAGCTATAATCGGTGGTGTTTGTCCAAAAAACTTCTTCTTAGCTTCGATGCGAATTTGAACTAGCTAAATTTCCATTTTTATTAAGTGACAAATGCGACGTACAGTTTCTGAGATGGTAACACTTGGGTCTTTCACGCCTGTGGCACTGAATTTTTTCTTAATTCTTTTTGAGTTAGAAAAAAATTTTGAACTCATTTGATTTTTATCTCATTTAGATTCAATAACTTCAATGAATATATCAAGGATCCCATTACTGTAGTCTCCTCTCGTGAGAAGAAATTCATATTAATGTTATTATACTATGTGGTTTTTTTTTGTAGCTATCATTTATTTTCTCAGCTCTCACTGGATCTACTTTTTTGACAAATTTTTTTTAAAATTAAACACTATCTACAGATTTACATTGAAGCGTTTTTTATGATAGTGATTTTAATCACTGTCAGATATCATCTATACTGGACCCAACTATGCCACGACCCCACTATGCCGCCACCCCACTGTGCTGGTTTTTTATCATAAATCGTATTATTTATTATAGGTGTAACATTATTATTATTTGTAATTTTCTGTAAAAAATATATTTCAAATTCATATCAAATTGTAATTTAATAACATTAAATTAAAAGATATTTTATAGGGTCCATCATGAAATCTTTACGATAGCAAAAGTTAAGTTAATATTTCCAGTTGTAAATAAAAGTATGATCAATAAAATTTTTTTTTACTAAAAACTGCCATAACTTTTTTAAAAATGAACAAATCAATATAACTTTTCTTTTTATAGATGCATAATGTCTTTACATATCATTTGATATATTTTTTTTTATAAATTTGACGCTTTGCCGCCCACAGGGGGGATTTAAAATGACAACTTTTTCACAAAATTTAACTTTTTCAATTTAAATTTTGAAAGTGTTCCGGAAAGTCTGACACTTTTATATATATTTTAAATTAAAGCTAATGTAATTTACTTTATTATGCGAAAAAAAAATTTCGGACTTTATTTTATCTTCACGGTGAAAATGGCTACCGAATGCTATTATTGTGTGAAAATTCTCGATTTTATTTTTTACATTTTTAACTTTATAATGCTATGACATATTGAAAAGTGTATGGATCAACACAATTTTTTTATGAGAAATGATATTTTTTAATAATCCCTTTTTCATTCGACATACTTTATCTTAATCAGAATAATAATAAAGAATTAGCAGAACATGTAGCTTTTGGAATAATTCACCAATTTTTTAAAACTATCTAAAGATTTGCATTGAACGTTTTTTTGATAGTGATTTTAATCACTATTACTGCCAAAACCAAAATACTCAGGGGCGAGAGAGGGATACATTTATTTCGAGTGATTGTCTCCCCTCGACCCCTCTTGTGCAGTCAGGTTTACTATTAATGTTCCTGAAGTAACCTCAACTTTGTGGTCTATTTATTTATAGTAGAGTTATAGAAGAGAAAAACAATATTTTTGGTATTTATAGCAAAATTGTTAAGGAGATAGTCAATAAAAATATTTATGATTAATAGTAAAAATAAATGAAACCTAATTTTTAATAACAACGCAAAATTATTTTATATTTTTTCCAAATGATATGATTAATCATGAAAAATATTTTTTATAATTTATTTGAACAGTTAAATTCTCTTAAAAGTAAAATATTCATAAACGAAAGTGTTCACTCAGAAATATGAATAATAAGACAATAATTAAATTAATTATGACATTACTGTTTTCGTTATTACAAATAAATATGTGAAACTATTGAACAAAATACATTTTTAATTAAGCGAGCACAAAAATAAGACACAGTTGATCACTGTTAACAAAAGTAGCAGCTATTTTAAGTGTATGAATACAAAATAATTATCTTAATTACACAGCTGAAATACAGATTACACTTTTTAGTTGTTATCGTAATTTAATAATGGTTTATTAATAAAATGAAGTATATTATAAACTTTTTAAATTACGTTATTCATAATTTAATTTTGGATCTGACAGAACAAAATGATAAATTTATAAAATGAATAATGTTAATAATAAAAAATTAATAAATAGGAATAGAAGAAATATTTATAATAAGGGCGTTCGCAAAATTTTTCATGGGGTGGCAAACTTATTTTTAAGTATTTGGTTCTATTATTCCCTCAATAGATCCAGCATTGAAAGGTGAATGATCGGAAGCCTCTCTATAGGCACTATAAAAAGGAACTTATTCACCTCATTTAACGAATTAACTTTTCGAAAAATTAAAAAAATATATATTATGTCATATACATGTTTAGTATTTTTTAGGAAAGGGAGCAAACGCAATTAGGTTTTGCAGAAAAAAAATTATATATAAAAGATTTTATGGTAGTTTTATGTATTATTTATAAAATTAGAGTGTTTAATCAATATAAATCGATAAGCTTATTTCACATTGCACAATATCAAGGATGATATATTATTTTGAAAAATTAATTGGAGAGATGAAAGCATAAATAAATTTAAAAAGTAGAGGAATTTCATCCTTCCGTACCCTTCTACCACTACAATTTTGGCACATATATGTATGTATATGTATATGAATATCGTGGAATAGATCTAACTGTCAACGTTTATAACTTTTGATACTATATACTACATATAAGAATACTACAATTAACATTTAGCAGCAATTTTTTTAAAAATAATTTACGCATTCTTAGACTGCGATAAATCATATTTTTATATTGAAATAACTTTTTGAAAAATGAACGGATCGTTGTGAAATATTTATTGATAATTAATGAGTTATGTGCATTGCGGATACTTATTTTGATAATGCAATTTTAATCAAATTATTTTTCTTTTCAGTTTATAATAATAAAATACTCTAAAAGTTCTGTCTTCTTTAAACTTACATAAAATTAAAATTAATACAATGTATTTTCAATAAACAAAACTCAATTTCTAGGAGTTATTAAGCAGTAAAGTCAAAAATAATACAGTATTTGGTATTATCTTGCATTAAGTATATTATACTATTATTGTATCAAACAAAACCATTATTTTGAGTACATTTCAATATTAATCCACCGATCAACGACAATCGTTAAACAGCCATCTGTATTTATTTATTACCTAATCTATCATTTAACTTTCATATTCAACATTTTAAATTAAAAGCATAAAATACATCAGTTTTTATAGTATTGTATTTTACAGTATTGCTAACACATTTCATGATTTTATGATGAATACTTTCTTTAAGGAACTCAGTTAAAGTTTAATAGTGTCAAATTGCCTCACCCTTCTTTACAATAAATAGTTTTCAATAAGTTTTTTAAGTCTGAATATTTTTTTAATAATAAATATAATTAGTTAAATAATTTATATTAATTGTTTATGTTTATGAATATTTGATATTGCTGGCCATAATTGAGCTTTTCTGACCAAAAATATTATCAAAAATTGTAACCAAATATTATGACATAAAAGGTAATAGCGCTTAAATACTAAGGCAGGAGGTAATTCATTATTGCCTAGAGATAAAAACAGAATCGCGCTCCTTGTCCAGTTATTATAACAAAGTATTAATAACAACCAAAATACTAGTTCAAAAATTTCTTATTTTTAAGCTAGTTAAATATATATTTTTCCATTTAAAAAACATGTTACTATTTTCAAGATGGAAGAGAGGGGATAGAACAAAAGATGATTTGAAAATCATAGAACAAGGATACTAATATATTTTGAAAAAATATATATAATATTATTTATATTTTTACTGGTATTGTGTGAGGCATAGTCACTCAATCAGCTTGTATATTGATTCAAATAATAATAATATTAAATAATAATTTGTAAAAATTCATAAAAATATTAATCATTATGTATAGATTTTAATTTTTAGTTTGACTAACTATAAGTAGTCGTAACTGTACTCAAGCATACTTGGCGTAAATTATTATTATTATTGTAAAAAATTGTTAAATAATATTGAAATCTACTAAAAAATACAAATTATAATAAAGTATAAAAAGGAAATGAAGATTTAAACCTTAAATGAAATTAATAAATTCATTCTTTGTGAAATTAGCTACTTAATTTCTCAAAAAATTATTAAATATTCCATTTTACAATATACTAATATATTGTATAAAGAAATATATAATTA